ATTTACAATCCCACTTGCGTCCAGGTTAATCCGCTGGTGTAGGGAGCGTCTTCATAGCATTCGGGTGACCAAAATCGCGTCATACGAATGTGCGTGACGGTGACTTCGTTTCTATCGTAAGCGTACCTTTGTCCGTCCCTTTCGTAGTCCGCAATGTGAATGAAGCGTTGTCAGTGCACGATTTCTTGCAGGCAGGGATACACGGCCCCGGGAATGACTTTGTTGACCAATTGGTAAAATGTTTTTCTGACTTCTTGGGTGGGTTCGATGGGGGTGTTGACTGACGCGTAAATGTACAGTGGATTTCTTCCGTCAGGAGAAGTGGAGATGAACCAGTCCAGTTGGACCCAGAAGATGTACCAAACTAAAGGATCGATGGGAAAAGGCAGAATCTCCCAGGAGCTCGTCCCTTCTTGGTGAAGGGTGTGGGCCATGGCGCTGGCTCGGTTATCACTGATGGCGTTTCGGGCGCGTTCCAAGGGCGTGGGACCCGCGAGGTCAGGGGGTAACATCCAAATCGGTGGGTTGTCGGGACTGTCCGCCAAGTGTTCGTTGGCTCGGAGATCGATCTGGTCGTCAACGCTGATGGTGTCGTTACTATCGTCGAGGGAGGGACGTCGACAATGCCCACATTGAAAGCTTTGTTCGTTGGCTTTTTTGAAGCATCGTTTGTGTAGAAATTTTCCGCAACATGGCATGACGCGACAACGTGCGACGGATTGGATGTCTAATTCCAATAAACAGATGAAACATAGGTCTTTGAACGGGGAGAGTTCGGGTCCCATGCCTTGCAATCGTACACTTTGCCTGGAAGCCATGATGGAAAATCACGGCATGTGTCGTAGCTCGCTCGTTTAAATAGATGGTGGGGTCACGTGATTTTTGTGTGCCCAGTGGAGGGGGGATGGGGAGTATCCCCCTCTGGTGACGTCATGGAAAAGGAGGGTTATGATTGGTGGAGGTGTTGATTAAGAGGATGCGCGGCGCGTGATTCTTTGTTTTTCAAAATGCCGATTACGCGAGCGTACTGTACTATTTTGGCGGAGCTGGATGCGACTTTGTGGCGACTGGGTGAGGAGTGGGAACGTGTGCAGTCCCAGAAGCCACACGCTAGGAGTGGCGAGGCGTAATTGTTGTTGAAGAGGAAGATGAATCTGATCTTGAGGGTCATCCTGAAATTTCAAAAGTGCCGAGGCCATTTGATGAAGATTCACGAAGAGTATGGGAACAGTGTGGAGAGGCAGAGGGCTAAAGAAGAGATGGAAGTGCGCCTGTCGGACATGGACAAATTATTTGATTACTTTAGTAAATTTTAAGACACAATGTGTTGAAAAAACTTTATTGAAAAATGTTTGTCATCCAAAACCAGAAAGCATGACATTCTGTAACTGGACAATGATGGATACTCTCATCTTGATGGAAACCGCAGCTGGGTAATTAACGTTCACTTGAAATGATGTGTCTGAGTTTGTCGTATTTGGGACAACCCAGTGTTTCTAGATCGATCGAAGGAATGTTCAGTTTCTTTAACAAATCTTTTTCCACATGTCCTCCCTTGTACCCCACCACGGTTCTCTGCCCTTCTTTGTACCTGGAGTATATATTCTGTATCAGGTCTTCTAGGACTTCAGGGGGTTGAAAACCTTCACCCTTGAGGAAATGATAGCTCAATCCGTGGATCTTTTTTATCACAAAATTCACCGTTCGTTTGTCTTTGTCGCTCAACTCTTTGTAAGGGATGGGGATGCTGAAAGCGTGTCTTCCATTCTCTTTGTTCCAAGTGTAATAACCCAGTTCTCTGACTTGAAAGGTCTTGTTGATGAAAAA